GGACGGAGCCACAACACATATTGTGCCTACATGGCCTACATGGAAAGGAAGGATCCACCCTAATTGCTAAGGCTGTAAAAAGAACCTGCAGGAGAATTGTACTCTCAAACCTGAAGAATTCTGTTAATGTAATCTTACAATAAAGTAGAACTCCTCAAGATCATTCCCATTATACATTACAGTATGCTCATGTATGTCATATCCTTGTGCCTGACTCATTTGCAATGCAGGCTGCTACAGGCACTCACTTGTCCCCCCCCCCCAGCTATTCTTCCTAGGATTGCTGCACCTTGCCAAAGTTTATGACTAATGAGCAAGCAGCAATAAGCTGAACTTACCAACAAGGTTTGATCATAGTTGTGTGTACTCAGCAGAGAGAGTTTTTAAGCTGCAAACAAACAATGATCTTTTGCTAGAAGCAACTCCAGCATTGTGACACTTGGAATCTAGCTATATGCCATCCTGGCTTGTTACTAACCATGACCCCTTGATCTGGAAATCTTTGGCTTGGCTTTGGACTGCTTGACTTGGAAATTTGCATTGCTCAGTTAAGACTAAAAAAACTATGAGACCATAGATTACATCATGTATATATTTTTCAAGTCTCTTATAATGCACTCTGGGCCACCAACTCTTAAGCTTCCCACTGTCCAGCCTCTCAAACTCTACCTCACCATGTACCTGGAGCTCTCCATGCTCTTTATTTAGCAGATAATAAAGTCTCATGTTATTCCCATCTCTAATTACTAGTGATCTGCATAGAAAAGTATATTAGCTAAACATTTTTTCTATAAAATAAAATGTGTATTGATTCTTCTTGAATAGTTTTGAAATCTTGAATGGTCTTGAAATCTATTTTTTCCTCTGAAAAAACTATTTACCCTATTTGCTGACTTGCTGGAGTACAGAATATGATCTACCTTAACTGCTGGGAAAGACTCCTATAGTTCCGAAATTTGGATATATGTAAACACCTGTAAGATTATATACATGCATAAATGCAGTAGCCACAAAGATATGAACATTGTTTCAGGTTGGAATGATTTGCAAGAATAATTTTCTATGTTAGCCTGGCTATAAAGGAAGCTTCACCAAAGACTAAGCCTTCCATGTAAACACTATGGCTTCACACTAACCTTCACGGACATTCTCTTCACTCTGCCCAACATACATGCTAATAAGTTCAGGACCCTTTACACTGAAATGAAAAAATATAGGGTTAGTTATTCCAATAGTGCAATTTCCAAACTCTCCTGTCCATTTGTATCACAAAACCCACCTGAGGAAAGTCATGGTACATTCTGTTGCTACTGCTTTAGCTAGCAATGTCTTCCCTGTTCCAGGAGGACCATAGAGCAGAAGGCCAGAGCGGTGAAGGCCTAAAGACAATAACTCTGGGTGTTCTAATGGAAGTTGAATGGTGTCCAGGATTTCCTTTTTCACATTCTGAAGCCCTCCAATATCTTGCCAGAAGACAGAGGGAATCTGCAGGAGACAAAACTTGCCAATGCTATTATATACCTCAAAATTATCAAACGTTATGATGCCTTCAAAGACTACAAGAAACTATTTTTATTTCTACAGAACCACAGCTATTGCACACTAACCTACTCTCTGCCTCTGAAAGATGCCTCAAGGTCCCCGAAGAGTGATCTTTACGTGAAATCTCTCATGCTGTGACTTTAATATCCTATTCATTACACTTACCAGCACTTCCCTTAAAATCAAAAATTAAAACAAATTTCAATAAAAAGTGTTGGAAAATTTATAGATAGTGGTTGATTTATTTTTTCCTGTATTTTATAGCAAACTGCCCATTTTTCCTGTAGTTGTACTCTCCATTTTATTTTTAAAATTTATGATTGGCTATTGTATTGATTAAATTGCTCTTTCTGGCTCTTTGCAACTATAACCTTGACGTTTTATAAATATGTTACTGAGAGCCCAAAAGCCCTCCAGCTTCTCTTTATTTTGAAAAGTACTCCATTTATTACAGTTATTCATCAAAAACAGGATGGAATGTAAACTTTGGCATGTTTCTTATATTTATTAGGGGTCGTACCTTGCCTTGTTCTTATTAAGAGTCATACCTTTGGGGCTCCTACTGCCTGCGAATGAGCATCATGAAGTTTATCTAGTGCAACACTGAAATCTTCTGCTAGAAGAGGAAAACCAGCAGCATAAAAATCATATTCTTCATCTTCATTTGGTCCCCCTGGGAAGCTGGTGAAAAAGGCAAAGAAAGAGTCAGCAGTCCTAATACTGCCCAAAGATGTCTCAAGAGGTTTTCCAAAAAGCAACTGGACTTTCTTGGTTTTCTTTTCTTTGAAAACATTTTCAAACAATAAAACCGAGGAAATTCAGCTGCCTTTTGGAAAAGTATCTTTGGATCAACCATAACCTGGATGATTTAGAACAGGGGTAGTCAACCTTGGCTCTTTTATGACTTGTGGACTTCAACTCCCAGAATTCCTGAGCCAGCATGGCTGGCTCAAGAATTCTGGGAGTTGAAGTCCACGAGTCATAAAAGAGCCAAGGTTGACTACCCCTGATTTAGAATCTCAATAAACATGCTGCCCAAAGATGATTGGACAGATCTAGCACTTTAAAACTCTAGAATTGAATTGGAAAGTTACTGCACTGACATCCAATAAGATTGATATCATGTTCATTACAAGATGCCAAACAAGAATAAGATTATGGATTTTGGACCTACAAAGCAAAAAGTGTAGTTTTCAAAGAACATTGCTGTGAGTTAAGCACTCTCCTCAAAGCAACCAAGCAGCCATGTCCCTGGAAGGCTCAGTGCAGCTTCTCTGAACACTTTCCCCAGCTGTCTGAGCCTCCATCTGCATTTCCTGAATCTATCACACTGCCAGTGAAATGGCTAGGCAAAATACACATATATTAATGAGACAAATTTTGAAGCAATAAAAATTTGAGAAGGGACACTTCACTGGTATTTACGCATTTTGGGAGTGCCCCTTTCAAATGCTGTTGTACAAGAGCAGACATATAACAGAAGGGGTTCTTCACAAACTGTAGTAATGGTTACTGTTACTGCAGTAACAGATCTAGGAACTATGGCTGCAAAAGGGACAAAAACTGCAACAAAAAGAATGTAGAAGTTTATTTACATGCTTTGAAAGGTAGCATGCTTTTACCCTCAAACATGCATTCAGTATAATGTTATCAAAGTCTGCTCATTAAAATGTTAATAATAAAAAACCTTGACATTAACAGAAAGTCAAATTCTTCCCTACTGCTACAGATAGTTTGAAAATTGATATCCCATTCCATCCACACTTAGGTTAAATGTCACATCTTAAGGTGTCAAAAAAGATATATTTACATTTACAGTTACTATTTAAATGCTCAGAAACCAGATAATATTTTATTAGAGTACCTTGAATTCTGCATCCTTGAACAGGCAGCACGGCTGCTGTGGGAAAGTAAAGCACAGAAATCTCCTAGAACAAAGCCCTAAAAACATGGATTAAAATATTGGTGCAGCAAGTCCCATAACAAGCAGACAAAGAATTCTGAAAGGAATGGATGAAGATATTTCATTCTCTGCATGGTAAAAATAGTCTGTATGAATTACTGTGTGAAAGCCAAAGCAAATGAATTTCTTTTCTTTCCATCCCCTTAACACATTGTGTGAGCCTATCAATGAAGTAATAGGTAATACTTATATTGTTTGTTTGTTATAAAATAAATAAACAAGATGTCACTATGCATGTCATTATTTTTCAGCCAACAATAAATAGAAAATATATACAATAGACAGAAGCATAGTTTAAACCACCAGACATTATAATAATGAATTATAATTATTAATATACTAAATATATTATGTGTGATGGTTATAATAAAACTATTTAAAATTGTTGCTACCATTGTACTCATTTTGCTATCTGAACACTGCTATGAAGACTATCTTCAGCATTTTATAGAAAGGTATCAGAATAAGGGCATTTTGAGATCCCATATCTATATCCCCCTATTTCTTTGTCTTTTCTAACTACTGCATTAAAAATCACTCACCGCACTCTGCTGGGCTAGCTTGGTCAGGCTTACTTCTTTGCCCAGTGGAAAATTTTGTGTTAGTGTACTAAGAATGGCCTTCCTCTGCTCTTCAGCTGGTGCTTCAATTTTCACCTCATGAAGGAATGCCGTTTGCACATCTGAAGGGACATCTGCAAGTTTGCTTGTTGTGCCTACCACCAGCACAGGATAACTGTTAAGAAACATACAGATGTGCTGTAAATATTTCAGAGCTACAGTATAGGAGCTAGGAAAGAAAACCATGGACTACTATACTTCATCCCTGTAATTTACATGATTTGTGACATCATTTTTGTAATTATGAAAGACTACTATTTTAATCCAAATCAAATTCCAAATTAAATCAGGTTAGATTCAGATGAGGAGACAGGAATCAGACTGAATCATAACCTACCTGAAACCATATTGGGAATGTAGAATTCAAAAAATCTTTAGACTGTATTTTATAAAAATGTATACATTTCTCTCCAATGTTCTTTATAAGAACAATTCCAAGATAGGGAAGGGAAAATACAAATGATGTAATTATATGCTCAGTTCAATCCAACACTGTCCTATTACATTTTTTTTGTTATTTTGTTATGTCTCTAGCTCAGAATTCCTTCTGAAATTTTACAGGTTTCTTACATAGGAAAGTTACAGTGCAATGTATCATTTTCACATAAATAATTCACACAAAAAAGCTATTTTGTTCTTAAATTTTCCAAACTGGAAAAACTGGTTTTGCCCAAGATCTCATAAAGGTTGAAACCAGGCAGACATAGTACTATTTGAGTTATTCAGCCTACACATTCCATCCAATTTCCAGTAAAAGAAATTATCAAGGAAGTTTTTTAAAATAAAGTTTTAAAGGGACTAGGCCCAAAACACCACCATTTGCTTGCTTGAAATTTGTTATTTTCCCAAGATGGACTACTGATTCTGAAAAGTTATTCAATTTTATCACACTGGGGAAAAAATCCAAAGATACAGTAGAGAGATTTGGATTAAATTTGGCCTTAGGTTGATCAGGGAGCCTTTGAATCAGTTTGAAAAATGGAATCATTTTTCAACAAGGTTGAAACAAGGTTAATCTTTCAGTCTTTGTAACTTTTGGTTGAGTATAAAATTGAGTTTCTAATAGATTTTGTTTACCATCGTTTAGGGCAGTGATGGCGAACCTTTTAGATACCGAGTGCCCAAACTGCAACCCAAAACCCACTTATGCATCATCGGGTGTCGGGTGGGCGTGGCCCACTGGGTGGGCGTGGCCCACTGGGTGGGCGTGGCTGCGGTGGTAACGGCAAACTGGGTGGGACTAAAATGTTCAATCAATCAATTCCAACTTTGCAAGATCTTTTTTTTTTCCTGCGAGAAGTTGAAATTGACTGATTGATTGAACCTTTTTTTTTTTGCACACGGTGGCGGAGGCCTAAAGCAAAAAGGTTTTATAAAACCCAGCTGAAGGCCTAGGACTGGGTGACAGCGCATGTGCCACAGAGAGGGCTCTGACTGCCACCTCTGGCACCCGTGCCATAGGTTCGCCACCACTGGTTTAGGATTTATTAGAAGAGAGAGAAAAAGGGTGACAATTCTATTATCCAATTGCCCCAAATACACGCAGCTTTCTGCTAGGATTTCTGAAATATGAAAACAATCATATATCTTCCATATAGTGGATTATATGTACTCCTATTCACTATTTACAAAAACAAATTATACTAATGACACTTATAAGATATTCGTTTTATTCTTATTTTATCACATTATTACAATTATTTTTAAAAGATTAGAATACTAAGAGCTAAAGCTATTAACCAAATAGAGGGCTAGTCTACAATAAAAAAATCTCAGTTTTCAGCAATACTCTGAATAGTTAAATTCGTGGTAGAACCATAATGATGGGAATCTTCCAGAGATGAAATAGTACTTACCTAGTATTTATCTCTCTTTCCAAAAGAAGGTGCCTTAATGCAAGAATGACCCTGGAGTCCTCCCCAAATCCATCACGATCTCTTCCCAGCAGCTCTACATCTTTCATCAGCAGGACACAAGGACGATAGAGCTCAGCCTCTGAGAAGGCATTGTGTAGTTTTACTTCTGTAGATCCACTTGTATCGCCACACAAAGCAACACAATTCACCTAGCATGAAGTCAGATGACAGACATAAATAAGATGCCATGTAAACATGAAGATAAAAGTGGCATAGTGGAATAGTTTCAATCGGTACAAAAATGTATGGAAAATAAGATAATTCTACCAAGTAACATTAATAAAGAATCTCATTTATAAAATTAACTGGTTCTACGTTTGCATAGAGCGGAGCTATACAAAACCATTCAATTATAACAATTTCAAGTTTGAAACTTCACAAAGCTTCCCATCTCATGGCGGCCTGCTATTTCAAGTCATTTTGGAAACATTTTTGAGTTTGGAAACGGATGCGCTTGGGGCACATCCAAGATCCTTGGAATAGCAGTGACATTTTTTTAAAAAAATGAAAAATTCAGAAACTTGCGATGTTTGTACTCGAAACACTTTAAATCAAAACGTTTTGCACATCACTAACATATAAATCATTTTCATGTACAAAGTATTCTCATAAACAAAAGCACAGAAGTATGCACACATGAATTCTTTGTTTTCATCAAAAATGAAGGAAATGAAAAGGATTTAGATGTGCGACAGGAAAGGGTTGCTGAACTGGATAAAGGAGAAAAGAGAAGAAAACTGGGTGCCAAGGAGAAGAGTTAAGAGAGGAGGAATGGAAAGAAGGAAAAACCCTGGGAGGGCATTATTAAGAAAGGTAAACTTTTGCATGCAAGCAGTGACCGACAGTGAAGTTGAAAAAAATCTCTTGCTTGTATAGAACATTTACAACTGAAGTGCAGGAAGACTGGGTGTTTAGGTTCAGAGTGTATATGACTAAGAAAATCTGAATTTGCAAAAAACACTTATCTAATCTTATTTTTCCCATGGCATGACTTTATTAGGATAAAAGATGAAAAATATATTACAAAACTAGGTAAATCCAACAGAAACAAAAGAAAAACCAAAAGGGGCTTCATCTAGAATCTCCAACCCATTACTCCAATTTTCCATTCTTAATTGAAAGACATGAGAGAGCTGCTTTTCTTTTTATATGATTAACAAAGACCATCTCTGTAATCTAATTCTGCTTCTTTAACAGTTGTGGGAAGAGTTTTCTGGCAGTGGCAAGTGATAATAAAAAAAAAGTAATGTGGCACCAATTGAAATCTTATTTTTGAATAACTATTACAGGAAATAACAGTCCTAAGTTTCTCCTTCCCTTTTTTCTATATTCTTACAAAAAGTAAGCAGGAATAAGAACAAAAACAGCATGCTTGTCCCTACTGTGAGGGAATTAACCAACTTAAAAAATCAGTGTTATAAAAGATCCTAAGGTAGCCTTTAATTCTTAGGCTTCATAACAGGGAATGCAGTGTTTTTTATCAATATAAAACCAGGATCTTAAATAAGTTGAATACTTGACAATAAAACTTTCTTCAAAAGCAGCACAAAAAACATTATAAAACAGGTAGTCTCAACTTACAACCATTCATTTAGTGACCAGTCATAATTACAATGGCTTTGAAAAAAAGTGACACAATCATTTTTCATATTTACAACTGTTGAAGCATTCCCAGGGTCACGTGATCAAAATCTGGACACTTGGCAATTAGCACGTATTTGCGATAGTTGCAGTGTCCCAGGGTCACATGATCACCTTTTGTGACCTTTTGACAAGCAATGTCAATGGGGAAGCTAGATTTACTTAATAACCGTATTACTTACTTAACAACATAGTGATTCACTTAACAACTATGTCAAGAAAGGTCATAAAATGGGGCAAAACTCACTTTAAAAAACTGTCTTGCTTAGCAATAGAAAGTTTCGTCTCAATTGTGGTTGTAAGTTGAAGACTATCTGTACAGCATAATGAATTAGAGAAGAAGTATATCTTGATCCAAAAGATTTGAAGGATGCTCCAGGATCTGAGATTTATTTGTTTGCTTTTGGGAGTTTTTTGGTTAAGGGCTTTTGGTGAAGGCTTTTGAAAAGGAAGTAAAAATGGCCTCAGTGGCTTCTCCCAGTTTTGATTCTGTAAAGAAAGGGAAATTCATTTAAATGTCCCATTCCTTTGCAGCTGTTTTCACCACCTCTACCATTTTCCTTCGAGAAAAGAAGTAAAAAACAAATGTAATTAGCATTTAACTGAAAGGTTATGTTACAGTAGAGATCAGAAATGTTTGGTCCTCTAGATGTTACCAAATTATAACTTCTAGCAGTCTCGGTCAGAATGGTCAATGGTGAGAGTTGTCAAAAACTATAGTCCAGCAGCATTTGAAAGATACCCAGCAAGAGCAAGTTGAAGAAAGTGTGTTCAGCTTGGAGAGACGTTGTAGAGAAATCACTATTCTTTCAGTGCTCATGGACTGAAAAGCACATTTATTTTTGAAAGTACAAAAATGTTCTTTCAGCACCTTATTCTGAAGGTATTTAACATTCTAAAAACTACCTTGAAGAAATGCAGATTGAGGCGGCTACAGGCAGCTCTAACAGCTGTAATTTTCCCCACACCACTGGGTCCTGAAAGAAGAATACTTCCAGATGCATTTAGCAGAGTTTCTCTGAAACATAGAAAATATTTTTTTAAAAAAATCATGGTATAATTTTAATTCAAAAAGGAAGAAGAGGGAGACGGCAAGAACATACAAATGGAGGGTCTCTGAGAGTTAAAGAAAAATTTCATTCATCCAGCTTTTTTCTCACTGTTACATACAAGCAAGCAATGGCAAGAGGTTTGATATTTTCACAGCATTTCTTATATACTAAACACTACATTTAGGGTTATAATTTTAAAAATGGCACACTTAAGTACTTTGCATAAATGTCATTGAAAGAACCTTGTGCTTCATAGAGAGTAAAAAAAAGTTTTGAAATTCAGAATCTTCAAATATCACAACAGGCAACAATAAAAAGCTATAATCACAAACCCATTACTATGTTTATTGGTTGTCTAGAAACCTGAAAAAATATCCCATGGTACTTGAAATAGCTGATGTACTCTATTGGTCCTTAATTATGTACCAATTATATTTTGGGGCGTTATTAGAAAACACCATTATTTTTGGTTCTATAAAAATAGTTTAGTTAGCTGCTTTTCAACTCAAAATTGACTGAATACACTAGAGGCTCGTCTATGTCTGACTTGATAAATAAAAGATAGCTGCATCATCCACATAAAGTAAAATATGAGATGTTTGTCCATTACTTTGAAAGCATATAGATGACAGTCTCTCATTGATATAAATCTAAATAAACATGGAGCCAAAATATAACCTTTCTCATATCTTTCACTGAAGTTATTGGACTGATTAGCTGTCCTTTGGTATTATATCACCTCTAACATTTGTTTGTTTGTGTAGTTTGTAGATAAGTAACAGCAAGTGCCTATCCATATTGGACTGTTGGAGTTTGTCCCATAACTAAGATCCTGAAATGGTTTCAAACACTGCCTTAAAGTTTACAAAAGATATACAGTATGAAATAATGTCTTTGTTGTTGTCCCTAAAATAATCGTCCACCTCCAGCATCTTTCCATATAGCTGCTATCCAATTAGCAGCTTGCTTTAGCTGGGCACCTTGGATGACCATCACATCTTGACTGATCCTGCTGAGATTATATACCAGCATACATTCCTAGTGTTCTTCATTCCCTTCCACTACCACAATGAGGCAGTACAATGGGAAGTGGGGGAGGGATGGTACACTACTACATGATAGAATTCAAATCCCCAGATGACTTACCTATTGTGTAAATGAGGGCCAAGGATGTCACAGAGCTGTTTCACTGCACTGCAAAGCCCAGCAGGAGACAAACTGCTCCAGAAACTACAGCCATTATGAGATGGAAAAGATGGAATAGCACTGTTTGTAGAACCTACCTACAAGGTAAGGTAATAACACCCATTTTCTCAACCAGATTCATAAGAGCAGAGAAACTATTTTTGTGAATACCTTTGATACTAACAGTCCTACCAAATTTTAATAGAAAGGAAAAAGAAATGGTCTATAGTTTTGTAAGAAACTAAAAAAAGATCTGTGTATGTGTGAAACTTTGGAAGTAAAAAGAAACCCCACTGATAAGCATTACATTTGTCTCAGGTTTTTATATCTACTATCATTTTATGTTCTAAAAATAAGGGATCTTATTGTCCAAGTCCATATTTCTTGTAGGCATACAAGAAGATATACAAGGAGCTGTATGTCGGTAGTGGCAATTCTAAAACCGTTGTGGAGAGGAAGAGATGAAGTGAGTTTTTTAATGTAATACTGCATAGTCTTCTTCCCATACTAAGCAAAATTCAGACCCCAATGTAAGGACTGAACAGGGTTCAAATAAATGTTAAAATTAAGCTAAGAGCACCATAGTATAAGCAGCACACTAATCTATTAATAACAAACAACACATTCAAAAACTCTTTATTTTATGTATTCTTACTAACTTACCAGGAATAAAGAAGTATTCTGAGTATCAGCTAAGTACCCTATACTTTGCTGTATTTTCTCTGCTGGTAATATCCTTTTTACCCTGAACCACAGCTCTGGCCATCTAACGAAAGAACAAATGAGTTATAATTTGGAACCAAATATTTGACATTTTACAACATTTAATTATTCCAGTTATTTTTCTTGTTGATTACAAAATCAGCAAGAAGTATAACTGGAATTACATTTTGTGAGAGCTCAAATTTTTATTAGCTTTGCAACTGTCATCAAATTTCACTTACCACCACCATTATCATTTTCTACCTTGGAATATCTAATTCCTAAAATCACTATAGCATACCAAAGTTCAGAACAAGTTTCAACATTCTAAGTCAGCTCTTCCAAAACACTATTTCAAAGTGATAGTATAAATATTAAGAGTAAGTATCTCATTTAGCTTTTGACAATAACATACCTAATAAACTTTATTGAATTTTCTTCTAAGAATTCAGGATGTCCAACAGTTGGGAGACAAAGAATATCATCCTCTTGTACAAGCCTGCAAAAAATATCTATAATAATAATTATACTCTTTCTCTCCCTCCCTTCCAACAGACCTGCCATTTTTGTATTCCCAGTGAATTTAAGACAATCCCTTCATTTTAAAGCTATATGAGAAAAGCCTAGTCTTTTCAGGTAAATGCCCAAGAAAAAAATAAAATATATTTGATATAGCAGTGGACTAAAAGAAATAATTCAAATAGTTCTATTTCTGTTGAAGAAACAATATGTAGTATAACAACATCTAGGTCAGTGAATATGTGATTCTCAAATGTGGAATTATCTTTATTAGATTAAGATTTGCTATAGAAAAGTATAATCAATAAGGGAAAACTTCTGCAGAATGAAATATTGCTGCCTTTAATGAGATCAAGTTGCTAATAAGGTACAAAGGAAAAATAGAGAAAAAAGCAACTAGGACCAGCAGTTTACATCCAATTTACAATACAGGTCTCTAAAAAGAACATTAAACAATGTTTTGGAATTAGCACTATTGGCTGCAGAAAAAGGAAGAAATTTTGAGAAATTTCTATGAGGTAATAGTTTAGAACATGCGCATATAGGCACACAAAACAGAAAAAAATATTTAATAGTCGCATGGTCTTAGATAAATCTGAAAAAAATAACTGACATGTACAGTTAAGACCATATTCTGTTCAGTGTGCTTATTAAGTAAAAAATAAGAGTAAGATTATCTCATAAAATGGATCAAAAGTCAATTTGTTATCTTTACTAAAAGACTAACCTGGGAGTTTGAAAGTGCTGATAAAGAATTTGATCATAGATTCCTCTGGTGTTGTAGGTTGGTGAAGCCACAATTTCTATGTGTAGTTCCTTGGCAATGGCTGGCACAGATAGCAAAGATCGACTTCCTTTTATCTCTTGCACACCAGCAGCTTCCCCATATCTCTATAGAGACAATTAGCTATATTCTAATTATGCTACATGTGCTTAATAGCTAGAAGATTAACTTAATATTATTTTATAGCAACCTGAAAGATATCAATTCTTTTCACATTTAATCATTATAATGATTGTAACTGTCTACTGCATTTCATTTTTCTGAGCCTTGGCAATTTATTACTCCCTCCCTGCAAAATAAAGTGCTTGGAACTTAACATCCTAAATGGTCCCTTTCAACTCTTCATTTCTAAGTTAATTATTTTAAAAATGTAAGATAACATCTAATGAAATTAATTCTAGTTTATGAAATATGCAATTAATTATTTAGCTTTCAAAATATCACCAGAAATAAAATTGGTCCTGCTGCAAGCAAAATAAAACTAGTCCTTGACTTACGACCACAATGAGTCCAAAATTTCTGTTGCTAAGCGAGACAGTTAAGTGAATTTGCCCCATTTTATGACCTTTCCTGCTACAATTGTTAAGTGAATCACTGCAATAGTTAAGTTAGTGACACGATTAAGTGAATCTGGCTTCCCCATTGATTTTGCTTGACAGAAGTTTGCAAAAGATGATCACATGATCCACTGCAAACGTCATAAATATGAACCAGTGGCCAAGCATCTGAATTTTCATCATGTTACCATGGGGATGCTGCAAAGGTCGTGTGAAAAAAGGTCATAAGTCACTTTTTTCAATGCCACTGTAACTTCGAACTGTAACTAAATGAACTTATGTAAGTTGAGGACTACCTGTATTATATCCAAAGCTATGTCATTCAGCAGAACAGAGTCTCCTACAACAATGACAGAGATTCCTATGTCCTCTTCCCTCCATCCCACAGTTTATTAAAAACACTGTTCAATAGATTTCTGCCATCCCATTATTTCCATGTATCCAAAGTAGGAGGAAAATCCAGACTTCTCACCGATTCATGATAACATCTGATCATCATGAAGTCACTCACTCTAAGAAAACAACATTATTTGCAAATACAACTAACAAACTATATATCTGCTTTGGTATATTTAAGACAATTTGTGACTTACAAATAATAGGGCCATGTTTTTCAAAGCTTTATAAATCTGTTCAGCTTGTAAATAAAGCAGTAGGAAGCCATCATCTGCCAACCACCCTGTTTACTATCTGAGACCGGTGCCCTTTCTCTTGCAGCCATTCCATTATCTTTTTGACATGAGCTGCAGTCGAAGCCAGACATCTGGCTTCCTTAGAAAAATCTATCCATACAATGCCTGATTGGTACTTTCCAAAACACTTGTTAAATGCTACATGGGCTTTTGTATTTGTTTTTTAAAGCAGGTTTTCTGGTGGTTTTTATATTGGGAAGTGCGTTACCAGAAAGAACCTGACCTAAAAAAATGACTAGAGCAGAACTTCCTAAACTGTTTGCCATCACACCTCCTTTAAAAGTACACACCTTTTCTAAAAATCCGAATACCAAAATGAACACAATCAAACAATGCAAACAATACAATGAAACTTTAGGAAAGGTGGATTTATTCTAACAATCAAACTACAAAGTTCTTTGAATCTTGCCCAGGCTCAGTCTTCGCCACCCCAAGGGTAGTATACCTCAAAATTTGGGAAATCTGGATTACAAAAAAATCTATTCATGTTTTGGAAATGGAGAAAAAGCTGCCAAAATGTCTCTAGCTGGGATCTATTGAGCTGATCTAAATTCAGTGACATTTATGCTACTCTAAATCTATAGTTAATCCCATTACAGTGTTTCTCAACCTTGACAATTTTAAGGCATGTGGACTTCAACTCCCAGAATTCCACAGCCAGCAATGCTGGCTCTGGGAGTTGAAGTCCACATGCCTTAAAATTGTCAAGGTTGAGAAACACTGAGCTGCTAGATCAATTGCCTAACTTGCTCTGAGGAATTAAATGTTCAAATCTCCAACTCCACCCTACTAACAACTATTTGCAATTCTATTCCTCAGCAAGGCCCACCTGTATTTCCAGGAGGCTCCCTTCCAAAGGATCGCAGGAGAGATTGAAAGCCAAACTGGCAGGAATCAGTGCATTCTCGTTGGGAAAGGCGTCTGCAGTTGTTGCTTGGTGGTGCCCATCGTCGTTTTCTCCAGGCGAGAAATACCACTGGGGCCTGAGAACCTGCACAGAGGCCAAATGGGGCGCCGTGCATCCCGGCAAGTCTCCCTCGCGCCTCCGCACTACCACCCATTCTCCTTGGAAGAGGCCCAGGCCGTGCAAGCAGCCAGGGGTCACCCACAGAGACTGATCCACCGCAGGGTCTCCTCCCCACAGCGCAGGGTGGCCCCGCTGCGCCCTAACCAGCCGCTCCCCGCCGCGCGCCCACGCGGAAACCAGAGGCGTCCGCAGGTCCCTCCGCTCCCGGCCCTCAGCGCCGCTTCGCAATTCAGTCACAGCCAAGCGGGTGCCAATGCTCAGCAGTCCCTGGAGAGCCGGTCGACTCTCCAATATGCGCAGCCCCGAGCCAGGCAGGATCTCCCCGCGCCGTACGAGGATGCTAGAGCTTGAGCCGGCCCACGGTCGAGGAGTCCGCCCTGCGGTTCCCGCCGCGGATGACCCCAGCAACACCCAGCCGAGCAGCGGCGGCCTCCGCACAGGCCAGACCCTCACGGTCCTGCCCGCGATCAGTCCCAGCCGTCTCAGGAAGGCCCGGCTCAGCCACAGTTCCGGCGCAGCAGAGGCTTCTGCCTCCAGTAGCGCCGCGCACAAGAGTATCGGCTGCAACTTAGTCCCTGCCGGCCGCACAGCCAACACTAGAAAGCCGCTCGGGCAGGCCTTTGCCCACGCTCCCTTAGCCGGAGCCACCAGTAACCCCGTGGCCGGCGGCAGGTCCTGGGGAACGGGCTCGTCCAGGCTCCGAAGCACCACCGCCGCCGCCATGGAAAGGCAGCGGGGTAAAATCTAGGGAAGAAACGAAGGAGACTTTATTCCGCCATAGAGAAAGGCGCAAAGCATGCACCATTCCATGCACTTCCGGTCTGAAGCCAACCGGTTTTCCACCCGAGCACCCAACCGAAAAGTTGATCGGCGTGGGAACGGAAAGATGCCAGTGACTGCTGTATAGCAGTGGCGGAGTCGGCAGCGCAGAATAGATAAAGGGGGAAAAAAATAAGATGTGTTCCTAGTTTATAACTTCCGGGTAAATCTTGCGGCTTTTTAAAAGTCTTCTCTCTGATGAAAACAGAAGCTTAGCTCTTCCTGCAGAACAGGAAAAAGAAAATAATGTTAGCAGAGAGATTTTATACGACAACGCGCTTTGCAAATAAATAAATAAAACTTATTTTTTTTACTTGCTTCCTTTTCTTATTTTTCCCAAAGGTGCTGTTCAAAATACAACTGGAAATTCTTTTTTTGTTTCTTCGGTTTTTTTAAAAAAAACATTTCGCTTTTCATCCAAAAGTTTTTTTCACTTCTACCTAGAACTGAAACTTCTTGGATGAGAAGCGAAACGTTTTCAAGGAAAACAAACAAGCAAACAAAAAAAAAAAAAAACCAAGAAAGTCCAGTTGCATTTTGAACAGCACCTTTGGGACAGCTATGACCTGGATGATTGAAAATCTCTATAGATATTTCCTTAATTTACGTTTCATTTCAAGTAGAAAATGTGGAATTTGTAATACTTAAGTCTGTGAAGCAGAAGTCCAGCAATATAAAAATCCTGGGTTTCCCAAATTATTTACTGTTTAATTTTCACTTCTTCTCTAAAGCCGCCCCCCCTGCCCCTTTACACAGTTCCCATCCTGATGGTGTTCATGGCTCTACAAGCATTATTCTCCCAGGCTTTGAGATGGGGTGGATAGACACCCCCTCCCCTTGTTAAAGATGACTGATACGTTTTGTTTTTGTGTTAATATTTTTTTGTTTTTTCTATTGATGTTATGTTCCTTATTTAAAAAAAAAATAATTCTTTATTTTTGATATATTTGTATTGAAGGGTTCTGGAACAAAGCGAAATTGTTTAGTCTAACTGTTGCTTTCTTGCTTTTTGTAATCGGCTTTTGCACCAGGGAAATCTCACGCAAGCTAGGAAACATGTACATGGATACAATGAACTGAAGGAGGGAATAAGGGAGTGTACAGGAATGATGGATGTCTTCCTTATGATGTAATGGCTCTGTTGTCTGATTTTCATTGGCTAAAAAAGTTTATAAAGCAATGCTACTAACTTTCTAAGGTGTGGCACTTCTGGATGTAACTCTGCCAGCGTTCCAGATTGTTTGCCACCCAGCTGCTTAATTTGATCAAATAAAGTGCTGCTTGATCAAGAAGTCTCCGCTTGGATTATCTGATTAGATTGATATGGTATCTCAAGTTCAGTCCCTTACTGTATTCTGCTTATATTAATCTTGCTAACCTCCTAGCCTTTTGAATTTTTAACTTGTTTTTTATTTTTACTTGTAAATTTAACCTGTTTTTAAGTCTGCTTTGAATTTATGCTTTTTTCATGCATTTATATGATGTTGTAAACCACCTAGAGTTACTTAGGTGAGTTGGGCAGCATAGAAATGTAATAGATGCCCAGGGTTGTTCTGGTGTCAGGCAGTGCTAAAATCAAGTCCAATCAATCAATAAATAAAAGCTGTTTAAAAATTAGTCTGGCAAACTAGGAGTGTGAGTTGAATACTATAGATTTATTGGGACAGTACATTTAGAAAATATGAATTACAGTAATTTGATTTTTTACAACAAAATGTATGCACTTTAGGCCAATTTGTAGGATTGCAACAGACCAACCCAGGATATCTCTGAAAATTGTTACATTATTCTTCATTGCTGTTTTAGGTAGACTTAATCTTTAGTGCTCCAGAAACTCTCCTTGTAAGGATTGTTACGGGTTCATCATGATAGATTTCCATCCACTTCAATTGTGAAAACTGGAGTAGTCAGAGAGGGGTCTTTGAAAACCTGATGGTGTAGTAGTAATATTAAGGCAACTTCAGCAGGGACCTGTAGTTGTTTTAAATTATTCTATCACTAGCCATTTCTGTGGCTAAAGGAGCAGCTAACAAAATGAATTGTCCTCATTTGTTTGTTTGTTTTTAATCCCACCTTTATTATTTTTATAAGCAACTCAAGGCAGCAAACATACATCCTTCCTCCTCCTATTTTCCCCACAACAACAAACCAGTGAGATGACTTGGAATGGGAGAGCATGACTGGCCCAAAGTCACCCAGTTATTCATGCCCAAGGCAGGACTAGAACTCAGTTTTCTGCTTTCTAGCTTGGCACCTTAACCACTAGACATACATTGATATCATACATATCCGAAAAGCTGGATAGCTATTCTGTAAGCAAACCATATGCAAATAACATCTTTTTTAGCCTTTCATTCATAATTTATATCTTCACTGCATGCATTCATCAACTCACTCCACAAGATCAGACCATCTTCATTCAAATTGATTATATCATTTCTCTTCATCTCACATAACATTTATTTTTTTCTCTTGTTGCATTTGTTAATTTATGTTCTTTAATATTAAGCCACACTCTTCCATATGCCATAACCATTACTGATACTGGTTTACATTGCCCATCATGGCTTGGTCAATTCAATCTTTCACATAACACTTTGTAGTAATATAGATAGAATTTTAAATTAGGTTATCAGCTTATTTGTACAGTTCATTATACCTGAAACATGCTTACATTATTCTATGCAAACTAGGGATGAGAGGCTACCTTTCAAGCCAAACATACTGCTTCTTGCTTCTTGCCACATAGTAGGTGTATACAATATAATGCAGTTCATTTGTGTTAGACTGCAATGTTTAGTTTATTTTCCTGTTGCACAGATAACATACCCAGCATAGAATTTATTTTTAAATTTAGAGTGTTGAACATTAACAGGAGAAATATATATATTCAAGATCAAAGACCATGATTAAACAAAAGCATCAGAATGAATTCACATAGTATGCCAAGTTATAATAGCAGCAGAAATAGCAATAGCACTTAGACTTATAAATCTCTCCATGGTGCTTTACAGTACTCTCTGAGTGGTTTACAAATGTCAGCATATTATCCCCAACAATCCCAGTCCTCATTTTACTGACTTCAGAAGGCTGAGTCAACCTTGAGCCAGTCAGGATCAAACTCTTGGTTATGGGCAGAGTTAGCTTGCAATACTGCATTCTAAACACTGTGCCACAGTGGCTTTCATAATGTGCTTTAGCTTTAGTGTACTTGGTGAACAGTTATGTTCCATTATTGACCAGTGAAAACATGGGTCTAACTGACACAACACATCCAGCCAGGTTAACTATTTTTGGTCCCTGTCCCAGATAATTAGACTAATCAGGAATAGTGCTACTGTTTGTAGAATCCAGAATCCAACCCATCCTTCTGCCCTGCTCACCTCCACCCTCCTATGTTCCTTGGAATACTGACAAAGCTTTACGATTTAAATCATCCCTTCCCTTTTGGTCAGGCTTGCACTAGTGTGGGGAGGGGGAAGCTATAAAATTGCTCTGAGCATTAAGAAACACCAAAATGTATAACATCCACACACTGTCAACATTTCCTGTTTTCTTCTAATTGATAGCACCCTTTTTATTATTTCACTTCCATTTGTTACCCCACCTCTTCTCTATCATTTGTACCTACCCTACAGTATATTTTTCCCCTTCATTCCTCCTCCACTCCCTTAAACCCATCCCTCGCAGATGGTATTCAAGGCTCTCTAATAAGATGTCAAATGTTAGTCTTCTTCTCCCACTCTTCAGCCATTTCCTTTGATCTGGGCAGAAAAACAAAACAGAAAAGGACAGCCACACCTTGGAAGATACAAAGCTTCTTTATTGACAAGAAACTCAGAGCAAGGGAGGTAACTTTCCTGCTTGGTTCAAACCTTATATGAGGGAAGAGGAGGAGGGGGGGATATGGGAGGATGAGTAGAATAATAAGGACAAATGCTAGCAACCTGTAGGAGACTGGGGGACAGCTGGGAAAGTAACAGGAAAAAAGTTGGACGTAGACACCAAAAAACAGGAGAGAAGTTAATTAATAGCTATTCTCATAAATGGCAGCCCAGTCCAGGTTTCAAATAGTTAAGGAAAGAGATTCAAAACAAGGGGCTCCTGCTTATTGAATTAGATTGGAAACTCCTATCACGATTTTCAAGATTCTGTACTTACTTGCTTTTTTAAAAAAATGAATATTTTTAAATTTCTTTCTTCATTGTGCTCTTCTGTGAGGGGTTTCATACATCTCAGGGCACATTGATGCTCTATTCAACACATAACTGAATTAGCAGGGTTACTTGTTAAATAGCATAGCATAGCCTTGGCAGTCCATGCCCACATATCCTAAATACTAAATCTATACAAGCAAAATGTGGATTGCATTGATTAGAGGTTATTGTAGCTTGACAATGAAGACAAGGCACTCAGTGAAGCTTATTGAGATGCCCAAATGTTCACTCTACTACCAGGTGCTGTGACAATTGTTGGAGGTCCCTTGCTCCCACATACTATATATAGGTAGCCACAGATACTATTTTCATTCTTCTTCCCTGCAAGCAGGGGGGTCCAGAACACCAGAATTTCACATGTTCACCTGGACATCCCTGACTAGAGCATCAGGCTTAGGAGAATAGCAAAACACACTTTTGGCAGTTCATGACTATCTCCAATTATACATCCTTAAGAATTAGTACTTTTCTGGAATGCCTTCTTGCATCCATCAAGCCTGTAGCAACATGCAATATCTGTAGGGCCAATGTTTGTTATACATTCAGGACCATACTTTTCTGAGGCCATGGCACAGCACACTTCCTATTAACTGAAAGCCTTCTTCTGAAGCATACATCCTTTTCATGCCCTACTTTGACATTATCTCATGCTGTACTTTGAATCATCACATTCAAGTTGTATACAATCTTACAGAAGATCTAATAGGAAGTGTATTCATGCCAAATGGCTGCTTACAAGAAGGTGGTAGTTGTAGTAGTAATAGCATTAGTAATAATAATGCATTGTGGTCGATCATTTACTCTTTTTGTGTGGCTCATCAGAAGGGGCATCCAATTTTTTTCCCCTAGAAAGTCTAGGTTTTTCTGTTTGTAAACTTTGTACCCAAATAGCTTCTAGTTATACAAAGGACTAATACTTCTCATAATTAGTTGATTTTTGGTGGTCTCAGCAGTAACCTCTGAATAACTCCATTAAAAGATGGGAATAGTCACTAACAAAGGGTTAACCTTGCATGCTGACTGTGAAGATAGTTGGGAATTGTTCACATTTCATCAATGTGTTATATATTCTAAGAGCGAAGCAAATCTGACATTTCACTGCATTTCTCGCTCACAAGGGTTATGTTCTTCAGGATAATGATTGATCAGGATTCCCAACGTAACACTGATGCCACCTGCTAACCTTGCCTGGGTGTAGAGAAAGATGTGTCAGGGAAAGATACAGCTGGAAAATATACGGTACCCATGGCAACCTCTACTGAGGAATATGGAGATAACCTTGAGGAAGAAATGTTAAAAAGGTTAAGTAAAGATCCTCATAGTTTTGGGAAAGAAAACGGGTGAGGAAAAAAAATCAAGATAAACCTGCCTTGATTCTCTTTAATATAAGAGTGGGCAAATTCAGTCAGGCTTTCAAAATTCTCTTTACAATATATCCTATAAACATAGTGTTCCAGTACCTGGCCTCCCTTGAAGGACTGGACACCTGAACAGAAATATGTGTTCTCATCAGCCTCCAAAGAATAGTTCTGGGGATCTAGCAGAAAATTAGCCATTATTCCTATGAATGCTCAGGAACTAGGTCCCAACTGAAGTAAAGAGTAAGAGGAGATCAGTTATAAACCACCCACGGTGATTGGTTATCAGAATCATATATTTGGAGATGTGATCCAAGCCATATTCAGAATGCTTAAAATTTAGTTTCATGTATAATAACTCAGAGATCAAAATAATCAAGCCATCAGTCTTAGCCAAACCTTTCTATGAATCTTATTGAAGTAGCTGCAGGCCATCTGCATTCTGGCTAGGAAATCATCCATTAGCCAAAGGAGTTTCAGTAGGCAATTGGATCAACACTATCTATACGGAAGAGTGCATTGGCCTCCTCAGTCAGATTAATTGCTTAGTAAATGCATGTAGTAGGTTCACTGCAAAGAAAAGGAAGTATTGAGCACAAAAGAACAAGTATCCCCAACATCCCAAATCCATACAGCTTGCAGGGTGTTCTCCTCAATGCCAGATGTTTGTCTTTTCATGCCAAACATGGGAAGCCTTTGTTTCCATAATTGGGACTAGCAATTTGGCATGTGGTAGCTAGGTAGCGTGGCTACCTAGCTACCACATGTGGGAGGGAAGGATGACATTTGGATATATCTTTAGTGCTCTAAAACTGGCAACCAATATTCATATGGGTTACATGAAAGAGGAAGATGTTTTCAAATACCCATCCACCCTAGACACTACACTGCCCCTAGACCTTTATAATTGGTTGGCACATGTGAGGCAGGCTGGCCTTGGGATTTGCAACCTGCATAATGCAATCATTTTCTAGCCATCCAGCAGATACTGATGAGCTGCTAAGCTGCCACTGTACCCATATTTGGATGAAAGCCAAGCACACTGAAATCCATCAAGAAAAGTGACAGCTGCTACTGTAATGGAAGCCAATAAGAGAAAGCTTGCCATAGCAAGCAAGAGCATCTAATGAGGTGATAGTGAGAAGTATTAGTGGGATCAAAGCATTTCAGAAAACCATAAATATGTTCCAAAGATTGTCAACATCCTGTCCTTAATATCCACAAGAATAGACATTACAGAGCATCAGGAAGTTCTCTTTCTACATCTTTTCATATATGAATATATGAAAGTACATTTGGCCAAAACAGGAATTGGCATAAGACTGTGGTTAGAATGTGAGATTTGTGTTTAAATGCACTGTGGTACATTTTTTATTCTTTTGACCATTGCTTCCTGGTAGTCAAGTAATGTGTAAAATCACAGGAATATATATACAATAAGTGGGGAGTCTTATCCTAGGGCTGGTCATCTAACCCTTCCAGAAGGTTCTCTCTTCCTCAGCTTTGTCCTCAATGCTTAGAAATCTAGGGCATCTCTGACAGAACACTGCAATGTACCAGGTGGCTATTGAATCCAAGTCATGGAACCTGGAACCTGGAGACTTTCTTTATAGCTTTGTATGTTCCACTGGAGCAGCATAATGTTCCAGCTTGGATGTTCTGGGCATGAATGGATAATCAGAATCAACTTAAGAATTTATTTTTATCTCATCTAACATGTCGTCACATCTCAATGTCAGTCTTACCTTTCAATGCTCTATTCTTCTTTCCTAAGAAAATCCAACCTTCTACTTTTCCAAATGTGTAATTCCCCCAAAGGAAATAAAGCAAAAGAGTTACCATCAGTTCTTACCAGAATTTGAAAGATTATGGTGAATTGCTATCCAAAGAATGAAGACTACTTATACACAATTGTTCTTGAAAAAACTGTGGACCTCAGCCAGAGCCATTTAGGTATTCTATGGCTTGCTAGTTTATGCACACTGGGTTGATTTCACTCTCTGCTCCATTTATTATTGCTACTCTGTACATCATGTTCAGTCTTGGCAAGAAGAAACATTTGTCAATTTTGCTTCCCAAGGACAGTGATTCTAACTTGGCAGAAAAGACTATAATACTTATGCCAAATTGGAGGAAAAGAAGAAAAACTCAGTAGCAGACAAGCTTCTTAAGAATCTGTCACTAGTGGCACATAAAATTCTAGTTTCAATTGCAGTGACATATCAGGATCAAAGTCCTAGATAACAAGAGAGAAAAATCTTTCTCTCATTCCTTTTCGTCCCTTCAATCTGAAAGGATTTGAGAATCCCTCAGCTGGTTCAGTTTTAGAATCATATTTAAATAGATCATTCTGCTCAACCACTTATTTTTGCTAAGTATGCTTAAAACTACTGCTCAAGGACTGATCTTTCTGCCCATTCTTACAATATCCATCTTGGTATCTTTGTGATGTTCATAATCTGTGCAGGAAGTGTACAATATTTGTTACGATACTATAGGAATATTACTGTTGATGATCATAACATTTTTGTGGGGTTATCTAGTCAAATAGCTATTGCTTTAAACTGGCATTGTATACTTATGTTTTGGGGAGTATATTCTATTAAATATTGTAGAATGCACTATTTGTTACGTATATTGTTAATCCAGTCCTATGTATTTTTAATTTTTAGTTTGAAATAAATTCAGGTGAATTCAATATAGGTAACATCATAAACTGCACATACTCTAATTTTAGAAGAAAGGGAAAATAGCTTTCCAAGATTGTAATATTTATAAATCTTCATCGTGTTTCTTCTCAAACTGCTTCTAATATTTCAATCTATTATTTTTCATTATAATTTCTATACAGCCCATCTAAAGACAAGATTTCTAACTGACCTAATCATGTTGATGAAAAAGTCACTGACCAGCTTGGTAAAATTGTATTCGCTGGAACATTTATGATTTGGTTCTGTTTACTTAACATGTTTTATCACAGCAACTTTATTCAGTAAATAATAACACTTAATACAACACATTTTTCATGATGTGTGAATAATTCTTTCAAGTATAGATATACTTTTTCCATAATAGTCGAATTCTATTTAATTTTATATTGTCTTTTCTCCAATGTGTATGAGATCCATAATCCCAGCAAGGATGCTTCAAATTTCAGCCTTATTTTCATTTTCAGCCCAATGAAAACCAAAGTCTAATAAAAACCAAACTGTGTAAATCCAGCTGGATGACGTTCATTGAACCCTATACTAAAAAAAAGTGGGGAAAAAAATCATTTTTAATGGGTATGATATAAACTAGTTAATTTCTTATAAATTTCCACGAAATTTAAACTTACTTCACTCTAATTTTAGTCTGCATAATATAATTTTTAATTAGCATTGTATCAAAGAATAGCTTTAGGATACTTTGTTTTCATGTTTGTAGGAAATTATGTCATAGTGTCAACAAATCAGTAATATCAAAACACGAGATAACTAAGAACATATATTAATATCATTTTTTAAAAAAAAAATGCAAGCAAAATTAACTGCAATGCAGTTGTCATTCTTCCGAGTAGCTTCCTGACAAATTTTTCCGTGAAATTTTCTCAATTGGGCTGTTTCTCCTTGACAATGACACAGAAAACCTGCGTTACATTGTACCGATAGTCCCATATTTCATAAATGATTCCCATGTACTGTACACATTTCACGCGCCCCTTCCAACTTCTTTAAAGCAAGAATGGCGACCCAGATGCATATTCTGCCAATCCCAACACAGCCCAAAGCCGCCGAGCATTTTGTGCGCCCCCCTCGACCCCCAATCACAATTGCTTTGCAAACTGGCAAACCTCTCCCATTCTCTCCCGCCTCTCTCCTGTCCTTCAAAAACCGCTGAGAAACGCACCAATTAGAAAATTGGTCGTGATTACCTCTGGCCAATGAGATAAAAGTGACAAATCAGTTGTCAGGCAGTTTTGGAGCAGCAGGCCCAATCGGGACAATCTGCCACTCCTGCGCAGAGGGAGGCGGCGCCAGTGAGGACAACCGAGAGAGGAGGCCGAGCCGGCGGGAGAGGCCGAGCGGGTCAGCTCGTAGTTCTTTAAGATCCGGGATGCCCTACAAGCTGAAAAAAGAGAAGGTGAGGGGAGCAAGCGGGTATGCCGGGAAGATGCTCTGTTAGGAAGACGAAAATGTAGTGCAAAAACATGCCCGGGCCTGGCAACGACCGAGCTCGGGGCCTCCGCCGGGAGAGGAGCCTCCCCACCCGCGCGTCAGGGACTGAAGCCGCAGGCTGGTAGGGCGGGTACAGGGGCTGCTGCAGCACTTTATTTGCAAGAGTCACAGCCCTTTCGGGCGACGCAGGATCCGTGTCGTGCAACAGTTACAGGAAGCGATCAAGGCACACCTGCGTGCAAGCCAGACCTAGGTTTGCCACATACAAACGTCGCTGATACCGACACACACAGTGCAGACAATGCAGTTTAGGTTACCTCCGGCAAAGGCCTTTGGTGGTGGGGTTGTAGTGCGAGATGTTTAGAGGGAAAGCCGGCTTTACTGGTCGCCGTCATTTTTCATGCACTCTCATAGGAATCTCCACGGAAGAAAAGCGAATTGAAGTTGTGCGTTTCGGTGGCCCTGTTCATAAATAAAAGGTCTTTGGATGTGCCTGCATCGCAGAATGGAAAATGCCAGTACTCGTATGATTACAGCTTAAGATTAAGATATGCAGGCTCCAAAAGCGGGGCGAGGGGGGTTGAACTGCACGATGCATAGACAATTGCGGAGGTGGGGAAGAGAGAAGGAGGCTGGTTGCAGAAACAGGAGAGAGGATTTAGTAGAGATTGTCTCTGTGTTATAATACAGAAGATCAAGAGTAAAAAAAAATCCACATGTCCCACTTTGGTAGTACAGATTTTAATATACAGGTAGTTGCAAAGCACTGTTCTTTGTTAGACGGGTATCCACTAGTCTTCCACATCCATGCAGATTTTTGTATGCAGATGGACACTATGACATAGGCCCTCCATACATCTGTATGGAAGATACTGTAGATAGGCTTAAAGAGAGTCTGCCCTCTTATCCAGCATTACACTTACTTACAAAGTTGTAGAACACATTGGATCCATTGTTGCCATTCTTACTAGATTGTGCAGATAAATATAGACAAAACTGTGTATTTGTTCCAAAAACATTGCTAAGTAAGCAGTTGGAGATTAAGCAAATTCAAGGCCTGTGCATGTGCAGGCTGACATAATTCTCCAATGGTGCATGTACTTGACCAGTATACAAAAGATAGAAGTGTGTGGACATGTATATCCATTCCTAAGTTTGTGTGTTTTAGAAAGGAGCACTTTGAACAAATGTTTAATAGTATTTTGTGTCAGCACAGATTTTGTATGCAATATGTGCAGATGCAAAATATATAATACTGAGGATACTGGTGCACAGTACAAGTGGGCCTTGAGTTATGACCACAGTTAGGACTTGAATTTCCATCACAAAACAATGTGGTTGTTTAGTGAGTCACACCTGATTTTACAACCTTTTCTGCTGTGGTCTTTAAGCGAATCTGTCTTCCCTCCTAACTTTGCTTGTTGGAAACCCCCTGAGAAGGTTGCAGATAATGATCATGTGATTCCAGATGCTGCAACTGTCATAAATGCATGCTGATTTACAAGTGCTTGAATTTTGATTATGTGACCATGAGGACACTGCAACGAACATAAATGTAACTCACTTTTTTTCAGCGCTGTTGTAATGTTGAATGGTTGTTAAATAAATGGTTGTAAGTTGAGGAGTACCTGTAGATTTTAAATAGGCACATCTACAAAATCATGTCATTGACATTACTTATACAGTTGTGTATAGCTGCAAGCAGATGGTAGGCTTTGCTTCTCTAGGTTGCAGAAATCTACAAAAAGTACACCAGGAAAACTCAGAGTATAAGCACAGATCTGATCAAATAATAAAAAGGCACACCAATAATTCTCGTTTTAGTGGAATGCAAGTTAATATATGTGTGAAGTTCATGAATGCATGTGCAGTACATGGTATAAATACATGGATCAATTTCAGAGAAGAGATAGCTCTTGTAGAATACACAGACATGCTGAGTCTAAGATTGAGAAGTATGGCATGTCCAGTAATGGAAAATGGTCATGCTTTCCTTGCAGATTTCAGGTTCATGTCTAAGTACAATAGTTCCGTCTAGATCTAACAATAGTGCTGTCTAGGTTGTAAAAACCTCAATGTGTCCTAGATAGCAACAAATAAGTCTTTATATTATTTAGAGGTCAGCTGTGTTTTTGTATTCTAGCTGAGAAAGATAGGTGTTTAAAACCTGGAAAACTGCATCTTAGCAGTGTAGAAGAGACTATTTTAAATTACAGGCATCAACAGTTTGAGCTGGTAAAAAATTGCTTGCTTCTACCTCTGATATACCTTTCCTTGACTTTGTATGTAAAACATTTTAAATTCAAACTTATCTGATATCATTGAAAGTGCTTTGAGTGCTAAATGGCCATTTTAACTTCAAAGTAGGTTGGAATAGTTCTGGTAGGATTGGAAAAGCTTGTTTCAAACTTCAAACAGGTATTTCGAGCTTAATACATTTTGCATGTATTTAGTCTTGACACATTTACTTTTAGTCTTTACACAGTTTTAGAACTATGCTCAAGCAAAGCTTATGTCTGAGAAGACATTTGTAGGTTTCATCTGCTAGTATATTGTGTGTGTTGTAGGGTTTTCTTTCTCCTGCATCTTATATTTTTCATCTTTTAAATATGTTTCTAAACTTTGTAAGCTTTTGTACAATCCTAACATAATCTGGGTGCATCCTATTAGAGAAGAAGAATGCTGGATGTCTAAATTGTAACTAAGGAAAAAAGACACAGTTCATAGTGCCTGAATAACATACATGCAGTTTAACCCACCAGTAGGGTATGTTGTAGTCTGCAATGTGAAACACAATATTCAGAATTTTTGAACAAAATACAGTAACGTTATCTTTAAAATACTTATAAGAATTGTGCTGTTTGCCATAAGTGACAGATTTTTTAAAAATCATTTAAAAAAAATAGTATTGTACATCTGATAATGTGTTTTTAATACTTAGAGGGTAGCTGGAAACTTTTTTACCTTTACTTGGAATGATGATAGTTATACTTTGCTTTTTTCTTTTCATAAAAGTAGAAGTGTGTCTGTTCTAGTTTCTTTATATCCACAGCAACCAGTAGTAGCAATTCTCGTGTTATATATGTTCAGTTTATATATGTTATTGCTATTTTCATTGCATCGCTCTCTTTGGTAGCAAAACCTATCACATCTCTTCTGGCAATAAGTCTAAGAGATTTATTATGGACTAAATTTTTGTAGATTGTAGTTTACTTCAGAATTTGCATCTGTTATGTACCTTGTGGGATTTAGAGGTGACAAACTTGATAAATGTGTTGATCTTTTAATTGCCGCGAATTTCTCTCTCTTTTAATTTTTTGCTTTCTAGGAAAATACGACTATCCCACTGAAAAATATCGGTTAAATTCACTTGTCTTGGCAGAGTCCAGCAAAGACTCAACAGTTTATTCTAAACTACAGTCCAACAGGCATTTTTACAGGGTGGGGTAGAGGGCAGGGCTTAACAAAATTGAGTGACCACTCTAAAAGGAGAAGAATAAATCATTCTGGGGAACTGCCTCGACAGTGGTTTGCTTTGGGCAGATCTTTCTCCTATGCTGGGAAACAGATTTCAATTTGCAAGAGCTTGTGCAATATGGTATAGCAATTTTATTTATAGAAAAGTGTTTTTCAGTTTTGTGGTACCTATCTTGAGGACAGTCTTGTACATCACTGCATCTAAATAAATGCTTTTGTATCTTTCATTTCTTTTGCCTTTCTTCTAGGAGCCTCCAAAATCTACTAAAAGCACTACAAAGGCTAGCAGCAGCAGTGGAAAAGATGGAGGTAATGCAACAGAGAATTCAGAAGAGGTAATGGATTGAATTAATGTCTTTTTTATTTTCTAGGTTTATTTTCTGACTACTGCAATTTTATTTTCTTATTTAAGGATAAACCATATTTATTAAGATAAAAATTGAGAGAATTTGGCAATAATTCCACAGCATACTTAGCTATAGTTAAGATAATTGTAGATTGCTTGTATCAATTTTTTTCAATTTATATTACATTCTGAACAATGAATTAACCACATTGCCTCAGTTTGCACAAGACACTAAAGGACACATGATATCACGTGTTATACAAACCCAGCCTCTGATAAGGATGGGAAATTGATTGAGAGAGAGGGAAAATGACAACTATTCATTTTCTTATGAGTTTGTCTTGATAAGGTTCTAACCTACCTTTCCCTAAATGAATGCTGTTTAGAATTGTTTGATTACAATTCCCATAATCCTCAGTTTGTCTGATATGAGAAGAATTGGTGTCCATTACAGCTCGAGTATACAGTATGGAGAAAAGAAAGCCAACAAAGAGACTTGTAATAAACAACTATCCTAAATTGTCTTTCTGATTATAGAATCAGGCTTTTGACAACTTGTAGCCCTTGATCTAAATTACAAAGTGGTTTGCAAGTAGGTAGTCGAAACCATTATCAAGTATGATCTTTCTTTCTTTTAGCAACCTATTGAAGTATTGGGCGGGGGGAGGCTGAAAAGTGTACAGAAGAGTTGGCTAAAAGATGTTTCATCCACTTTTGGCATTATTGTGTTCAGAAAGCCACTTTGAAGGGAAAATAATTTGCCTTCTGTTTTTAGGGTTGAGCTTTGGTCATACTGGAGATATTAGCCATGCAGATATCATGTAAAATTGTTTATTTTTTCATCTTAAAGACATAAACGTTCACTTTATCAGATGTATAAAAATGTCCTGGGTACATTGGAAAATCTAGGAAAAGTGTGGCGAAACCAGGCAAAATACTATACTATACTTTTCTCTTAACATATTAGTTGCAGCAGATCAGTTAGGTCAAAAATAAGATTATATATATTTTTTTATTTGGATGGAAGAAGGAAATTATTAAATACATTATCAAAGAATAATCACATTAACTACATTTAATTTCAATTAATTTAAATATAAATAAAATTTAACTTCTATCTTAGCCGCCTACTTTGCTTGTTGAGCAACAGTGTGGCTTGTATGGGCAGCATGACTGTATACTGGATTGGTTGTTGTTTTTAATTAAAATAAAGAATGAGTCCAGTTTTCAAATAGTCAGCAAAAATAGAATTGTTTTAATGCTGTTTTAATATTTTAATGCTGGTTCTAGAAGTAACGTTTTACTGCATGATCTCTAAACATATATTAAGCTGTTATGAACATTCTGTATAACTGATAAGCTTTAAACTGGAACTTTAAGAAAATTATAAAAGAAAAAGGATATATAGAATATGAATATAAAACTGGCTCAATATTTAACATATATATATATCTAGATCATATAGACGCAGCTATTCAGATAGGAGTTGTACCCATTGTTTTCTGCAAGTAGAGGTTAATTGTTTCTGGTGTAGAATATTTAAAATTTTCAGATCTGTCCTCCAGAACTTTTTTACAGTTGTTATTTTATGAAATCTGTAATATTTCATAGCTAAAGTTGGGGTTATCAGACATAATCTTGCTAGCATGTTCTCACTTTAAAACAATGATTGGAGCAGAAATGGAGGTATTCAGTTTCTATATGAACTATGCACACTTCAGAACACTAGAACCACTTCGGCCTTTATTTTCTACATTCTGTCCAGTTTTTCCTTCAGTTTCTCATACTGTTACTTGGCATCACTACATCTATCACTACTACTGGTCCTGGTCTGGTTGGTTGGCCAATATCTTTTGGTTCTGGTCTGGTTGGTTGGCCAATACCTACTTGTTTTGCTGGATCTTAGCTTTCTTATTTTTCATTACCATTTGTGGGATTTTCCATCTAGATTTAGGAAGGTCTAGCCCATATTCTGTACAGATATTCCTGTACACAATGCCAGCTATTTGATTATGCCGTTCAGTGTTAGTGTATGCTGTTCCTTCCTGAATCTTACACCCTGCTACTATATGTTGAACTATCTCCAAGGCTTGTCTGCATAGCCTGCACCTTGAATCCTATGAACCATTGCTTCTGTGGATCTGGTGCTGTCTTTTAGTCCAGCCTTTTCCAGCCACTGGTAGGATTTCCCAATGTCTACTACCTCAGCTATCTGTCGATGGTACATCCCATCTTGTCTTGCCATGGCACTTCTTCTGTTTGATCTTCTTCCCACATCTGCTGCTGCTTCAGGCATTCTCTCAGCAGCTCATCTTTGGGTGCCATCTTATTGATGTAGCCTTGCATGCTCTGGGTTTCATCTGTGACTGTGGCTTCGGCACACAACAGATTGCGAATGTGTATATTATAATTTTGATTATAATAGTAAAATCTAATTCTAAAAATAAAGTTTAAACAAATAATAGGAGTAAAAATGCAGGGAGGAAAAAGAAAGTAAGAATATAATAAAGAAAAATAAATATAATGAATGACTTCCAATCTTCATCACAGTGAATTTATTTAAGGCAATCTCATTAACCACTATGCGCAACAGAATTCAGTAGGCCTCTTCCATTTCTTAATCTAGTGTAAAAAGACAGATTTTTTCCCCAAAATGAAAATGATTCAAGGAAAATAAAAGCTGTAACTGTACATTGAGTCATTAAAGGTGTATCAGTACAATGGTAATCTCAGAATGCTTTGAGTTTTAGTGCTTTTTTTGAAGATAATTAATGATAACTTTAGAAGGGTACATGTGGCAGCAAAAATCTGGCCTTATAACTTGTTAGTGCATGAAATTGATCCTGCTGCTGATAAAGAGCAGCCAGTGTTTGAAAAGGTTTGGAATAATTTTTCAATTGCTATTGGAATATATATTCTTATGACTTTCCTTGTTTGGCTGACTGCCGAAAATAGCACAAGCAAGTAAAGAAAGCACTGAAATCTTAGAGTAATTCTAGGGTAGTCTTCCCTAACTTGCTTCCTCCAGGTATGTTTGAAGACTCTAGAACAGTGGTGGCGAACCTATGGCATGCGTGCCAGAGGCGGCACTCAGAGCCCTCTCTGTGGGCACGCGTGCCGTCACCCCAGCCCCGCCTCTCCCCGCGGCCCCCTGCTCACCAGCAGCCTCCCTGGAGGAGAATCGCCCCCGGGTGCGGCCCACACGGAGCAGCGCAGCCAAGGACATAACCTGGCAGCAGGGACATGACTCCACCCTCGCACCCCATAGCCTGCAGATGATGCTGCGGGGTGTGGGCGGAGGGCGTGGCTGCCATGGTGCTGCAGGGCTGCCTGGGTGATCTGCTGCGGGCCATGGAGGCGGTGCGTGTCCCTGCAGGTGGGCGGGGCAGGGGGCGGGTGGGGGCGGAGCAGGTAGGGTGGGAGGCGGAGCAGGGGCGGGGTGGTGGTTTTTGGGCACTCAGTCTCTAAAAGGTTCGCCATCACTGCTCTAGAATTCCCAGCCAGCATGGCTGCTGGTACTGGGAAGTGGTAAGGAAGGCAACAAAGGCAGAGCAGTAGCTCTGCCTTCAGACTTGCAAGGTTTTGTTAATATAGCCTTACGAGAAAGTAGAATTAGTTCATATTGTCCCATTTCCTATGTAGTTTACTTGGGAGGGGTTATATCTACATAAAGCAAGCATACATTAGTGTCCAACAAAAGCCACGTCAAGCCACATTAACAGAACCTCGCAAGTCTGAAGGCACAAACTTCCTGCCTCCACTTTTTACTGTTTGAACCATTAGATTTGAGTCTTTCCTAAATTTCTTTCTCTTACTGTTATGTGACTGCACACTCTTGCCTCTCTTGACATAATGTTTCCTAGGCAGCCTCTTTTGCCCTAGTTTACCATGGCCATGCATACATTTTATTATATTAGTACATGGTGTGGTTTGCTTATTCATAATTTGTTCATTAATCTGAAACTTGCTATGTTCATGCTGCATTCTAAACTTTTAAGTCACTGTTCACAAGCTAAGTGCATGAGATTGAATAAAACACTAAACGAAAAGCAACAGCTACCGGTTGATTTGAGATAAATAAGCCTAACAGTTATACAGTGTAGTACTATCTGGATACCACCTTTTATTTAAAATAAAACAAAATACTTCCCTGTATTTTCAAAGCATGTACAGGAGAAGGGTAGGGTGGGGTCTTATCTCCTTGCCATGACCTTTCTGTTGATCAAATCATTGTTGACTGCTTTGCACTGACTTCTGGATAGATCAATCCTGGGATACTCATTTATTTTTAGGACAAGTATAGCCAAGAAAAGAAAGCTTGGCTTTTAAAAACAGGTATGAAAAGAACCGTGGATAAGAGCCCAAAGGCACAAGTAAGGGCGAACGTTGAAAAAAAAGTCAAGAGAGCAAAAGCAACTTCAGAGCCAACATTGATAACAAGGCCTTGTTTGTCTTGGACCCCATAAGTGAGAGCAAGATGCTGGTAAAATGTAAAAAGTTAGAAGAAGGAACCCAGTCTTTTCTAGAAGAACAACCATTTCTAACTGATCTGTCAACTACTGCATTCACAGTGCAGTTTTTATTTAGTTCTTTTATGTGGTGCTGGAAATCTTCAACATTACACTGTACCTCCTTTCCCCAGCAGTGTACAGCAAAGAATATTCTCAAACAGGAGTGCTGATGATGATTCTTGACGTTTCTTTTCTGTTAAAAAGAAATAGTTCCTTTTTCATAAGTTAGGAATAAAGATGGCATAGGAAATGCCCTCCCGCGTAAAAAGGATTGAAGGATACTCAATCCTCTTTACCTGTTTAAATCGGGCAGCTTGTGGCCCAAAAGGCTCTCGTAAGCCTCTGCCTAATTTCCGATGGCTTCTGTAAGAGATTGGTTTGAAGCTTCTGAAAGCTATTTCTCTCTTCCCTGAAATCTGCTGTTTAGAAGTGATAGAAGAAGGTAACGAAAACAGGCATTTCCGACCATGTTTGGCTCTGTCTGCACCTGTTGTTTGTGTCAGTCCTATGTGCACTACAATCCCCAACAGATTATGTCTAAGTAAGTATGGCCTTTGGCAAAAAAAAAAAAAAAAGTTTGTTTACCAAATTAGAACTTGCTCATCTCCCTCACAGAGGGATTCTGTTGTACATTTCTGAGTTGCACATAAATGATTTTTGGAATCCAGAGGCTGTGTTTACCTGTTGTTTTATCCTGAAATTCTATAGCCATCTGAATTCCTTCCAGCTGCATCATTACAGAATCATAGAATTGAAAAACATCTCAGAGCTCATCTAGCCTAGTCCTCTGTTCAATGCAGGATGCTTTCCGGACTTAGTTTTATTGTTAGATGACCTTACAAAAAATAAGCAATATTACATATTTTTAAAAATCAGATTATTCATTATATAACATAAAATATATATTTTATTATAAAATACTGTGCACATATATGCTGTTCTAATTCATACAGTTGAATATTTTTCCTCCTACATAAATCTTTGGGCTTTCGGGGTAGAGTAGTGCAAAAATATTAATTAAAAATATTTTAATATAGTTATTTTTTTATTCTCTATAACTTCCAGTTTTTATTTGATAGAAGATAGAAAAAAAGAGGAGGATTCCTTCCCTTCCCTACTTGCCTTGATGAGAAAGGGGTGGGGTTTTTTTTGTTTTTTTTTTGTTTTACTTTTCTCTCCTGTTGTGGCCCTGGCAAAATCCATCTTCCCCTTTTGCAGCTCCTATTGACTGTGGGCAAGAACTTTCCTTAGTTCCATTGAAATGGACTGTCAGCGTGGTGGGATGCTTGAGGCTGGGAAATTTCAATTCAAATCACCTTCAGCAATGGAAAGTCAGAGGGTGAATTGGTGCTAATCCTAATACACAGGCTGCTGTGAAGAAAAATGGGAAAAGAGAGTGTGTATTTACTGTATTTCACCCTGTCCTTGCAGATGAAATGTGGGAAAGAAATCTAACAATTAATTTAAAACATGAACTATTTCCCATGTGCAATTTATGCTGATTAGAATCACTCATCATCACAGAGGGTGAATGGAAGCAGTATTCCAATATCTAAGAGGCTGCCACAAGGAAGAGGAAGTCAAGCTATTCTCCAAAGCACCTGAAGGCAGGACAAGAAGCAATGGATGGAAACTAATTAAGGAGAGAAGCAACCTAGAACTAAGGAGAAATTTCCTGACAGTTAGAACAATTAATCAGGGGAACAACCTGCCTCCAGAAGTTGTGAATGCTCCAACACTGGAGGTTTTTAAGAAGAGATTGGACAACATTTGTCTGAAATGGCATGGGGCTTCCTGCCTGAGCAGAGAGTTGGGCTAGAAGACCTCTAAGGTCCCTTCCAATTCTGTTATTCTCTTATCTGTCTGTTAGTGTGTGCTGCTTTTTTAAAGAGAAAGCGGTAGGAGTATACACAGTTTTTAGCAGTATCTGTAGCTTTGGTTCAAAAGAGGCCATCCCTTCTACTTCTTGTTCTCAATAGGAGTACCGTATTTAGCCAACAAACTTTGCAAAAGCGTATTGCTGAAGGAAGTACAGTAATTTACATGAAAACACTTCAAAATATTCTGAACATCTCTTAAAAAATAATATATCCAATGTATGGACTGATTGTATCAGAAATTCTCTGATGAGGTCATATTAGTAATGATATTCTAGATGTTAACTGTTTGACATTTTGACTGCTTAAACCAATACAGTGTTTCTCTCCCTTTTTAATGCACTTTGCTCAAGTTTCTGGAATTGAAAAGTGGCACAAGACCTCTTTGGATTTATAATGAATTGGCTGTGGTGAATCTTGTTAATATGCAGTGGGCAGCCCTGTAGACTGGCAAGCTGCCCTATTGTCCTTGGAAAAGAAGAGGAGAGCAAGTATTATGCAGGGAAAAAAAATGTCCCTGGAAAGTATCGTTTTGTATCAATTGTTTCCCACAGTATTTTCTAGTCTAGGGAATCAGCATGTTCCCCCTACTTTTTCTTATACCTATTTTTCATTCTAGTTCCTAACCATGTGGACCCTATGAAGACTTCTCTGCTATCCATTGTGGAAATGTTTACAAGCTTATAGGGACAGCTGCTTCTATTTGAAATTTCTTTATTGTACTGTTTTGAATTAGCCAGCAAGTTGCTAAGGGATAGATTTGTTAGGAAAAAAACGAAGTCAGAGCCATTGGCATAATTCCAATAGATGTTTTGTTAGCATTGGTCACTGAGTCTCTGTTGCAAAATGAGGGCAGCATTTGGGAATAGGTCCAGTTGAATTCTTTTTCATTTGGTGCTAGTATTTTTTGTCTCCTCAGTTTCCATGTGCCTGTCACTTTCAACTTTTTTTTATTGATGTACAGGTAGTCCTAGACTTGCAACTATATTGATCCAAAATTTTCTGTTGCTAAGCAAGATAGTTGATAAGTGAGTTTTGCCCCAATTTGCAACCTTTCTTCCCACAGTTGTTAAGTAAATTGCTGCAGTTGTTAAGTTAGTAACACTAATTGCTTCCCTATTGACTTGGTTTGTCAGAAGGTCACAAAAGATGATTGAATGACCTCAGGACACTGAAACCATCATAAATATTGTACATGCCAATTACCAAGTACCGAACTTTGATCACATGACCGTGGGAATGCTGCAATGATCTAAGTGTGAAAAATGGTCATAAGTCAATGCTGTTGTAACTTTAAACACTCAATAAATGAATGGTTGTAAGTCAAGGACTACCTGTAATTGTTATGCCAAGTCCTCTTTAATTCCCTTGATTTGGCAAGATTTTGAAAAAGTTGTGTGGCAGTCTTACCTATTTCTACATAGAGTTTTGTGTTGATAATTCCCTTGTGTCATTTTATTAATTTATGCATTCTTGATGTGAACTGAAAA